AACACAAGATACAAATTTACTCTTTCGATTACAATAATTTTGTTGAAGTTTATATCCATTGTGTAGACACATTGTAATGGGTTCGTCAGTTGTCAGCGGTGTTATTGTGTTTTTGTCGTGGTTAATATCTGTCCTACACGAATGAATCACTTGATTGAAACCCTGAGATGTGACCTCTTCCATGGGCCAGATAAACAAAATGAAAGCTAAAATTAGACTCTGAACCACATATGAATAACAAATGAGCACTTGGGAACTGGCCGAAATATACACATTTCTCCACCATTCCGCCACCGATTCTAAAATTTGACAAGAAGAAAACACACTGAAGATGATGGTGACGAGGATAGAAATAGATTAAGTTTACTATACCACAAATGTTATTATAAAAACAGACAGACAGAATCATAGGCTGTCTGTAGCGGGCATAAAATATATCAGGGAAATAATGGATAGAAATGCTAAAGAAATATGATTGGTGTTCTGTTGATGTCATTTGGAAAACTTTTGCATCTGTACATAAAAATCATTAGAGAGAGAGAGAGAGAGAGAGAGAGAGAGGAGAGAGAGAGAGAGAGAGAGAGAGAGAGAGAGAGAGAGAGAGAGAGAGAGAGAGAGAGAGAGAGCAACATGTAGAATTGACCCTTACAATACCACAATATTAAATGCTACGGTGATGTTGTATTGGGGAGACACACTTAAGATTATGTACTGTGTGTGTGTGTGTGTGTGTGTGTGTAAGTCGCACTGGGGAGCCGTAACCTACACTAATTACTGCACCGTGTAAAGTTTCAGAGCTGTTAACCTTTTAACTGTGGGTCCAGTCAGGCGCATTATCCCCTTCTTTCTCGTTGATTATCTCTCTTTACTCATTAGGTATCTTTCTTTCTCATTACGTTCCTGCCTTTCTCATTATGGTCTCACTTTTTTCTTTCTCTTACCTCTCTCTCTCTCTCTCTCTCTCTCGTGTTACACAGATAAAAGGAAAGTTAAACACATGAGAGAGATGTATTATGACCAAGACGCCTTCACAGCTCATGAGAGAGTGAGAAAGGGAGACAGACACACAGGCAGACACACAGAGTAACAGATAAACAAAGATAAAAGAGAAGGAAAAAGACAATAAATTGCTGAGAGAGAGAGAGAGAGAGAGAGAGAGAGAGAGAGAGAGAGAGAGAGAGAGAGAGAGAGAGAGAGAGAGAATAAAGAGAGATAAAGGAAGAGAGAGTAAAGAGAGACCTTGATATACCTGTCTATCACCCACATTCAACCACTTTCAACCAACAGCTTAAAGTCGTATCTTACGGTTCCTTCCCATCAGATTCTTTGCTCACTGTCCGCCATGATGTCACACAAAACTCTACAGTGTTACAGCCTAGAAAGCAAACAACAGAGAGAGAGAGAGAGAGAGAGAGAGAGAGAGAGAGAGAGAGAAAGAGAGAGAGAGAGAGAGAGAGAGAGAGAGAGAGAGAGAGAGAGAGAGAGAGAGAGAGAGACCTTGAAATGCATAATTTATTTTCCTTGCTCAGGTACAGACGTCAACAAATCATTGCACACACTAACTTTTTCCAAACTACTTCATATGTTCTTGATCTTAATTTTCACTGAGGACAGATTACATATCAGCATTAAGCAGTTCTTGTTTCTTTCTTACACTTGAGGTAGAAGTTCTGGGTCATCTTTTGTTTATTCCATCTTTATCATTTATTGAACTCAAATTCAAACGAAAAACAAAGAATCTTTGCCTTCTTCCATATGAGTAAATGGTTCAGTACCTTTCGTCTCCACCTATTCCTCATTCTCTAATCCGCCCTTTTCTTTCTCTCTGTCCTTCCTCCTCCTCCCCTTCTCTCTGATTTCTGCTTTTCTTCCCTCCTTCTCCTTCATCCTATTCCATTCCTCCCTTTCCTTCCTCGCCCTACGTCTCTTCCTTTACTCCGTCCTACCCCTCCAAACTCCCTTCACCGACACCTCTTCCGCCACTCTTCCTCCACCTCCTCAGCCTCTTTCCGTTTCCCTCCTACTCACTTCCTCCCTTTCCAAAGTTTGACTGAGAGAACTTGTCTGAGCCTGTTGGTGAAGGAAGGGAGTAAAGGAGGAGGAGGAGGAGGAGGAGGAGGAGGAGGAGGAGGAGGACACAGTTACTCACACAGCTCAATTACCTGCCAGAGTGAGGCTATTGATGGAGTTACCTTCTCTTGAGTACACGAATTGTCCAGTCAGAACCTCTCTGATAGGCCAGAATCCAGTGCCCACACCCTGATAGACCAGATACTTCCACACTCTGATAGGCCAGATACTTCCACACCTGATAGGCAGATACCACACCCTGATGGCAGATACTCCACCTGATGCCAGATCTTCCACACCCTGAAGGCCAGATACCTCCACAGTCCGATGGCAGATTCCCACCCTGATAGTGCCAGATACCCCACACTCCTGATGGGGCCAGATACTCCACACCCTGATAGACCAGATACCTCCACACCCTGATGGGCCAGATACTTCCACACCCTGATAGTGCCAGATACCTCCACACCCTGATGACAGACTTCCACACCCCTGATGGGCCAGATACTTCCACACTCCTGATGGGCCAGATACTTCCACACCCTGATAGACCAGATACTTCCACACTTCTGATAGGCAGATACTTCCACACCCTGATAGTGCCAGATACTCCAACTCCTGATGGGCCAGATACTTCCACACTCCTGATAGACCAGATACTTCCACACCCTGATGGGCCAGATACTTCCACACCCAACACCCTGATAGACCAGATACTTCCACACCCTGATGGGCCAGATACTTCCACACCCTGATGGGCCAGATACTTCCACACCCTGATAGTGCCAGATACCTCCACACCCTGATGGGCCAGATACTTCCACACTCCTGATAGACCAGATACTTCCACACTTGATAGGCCAGATACTTCCACACCCTGATAGTGCCAGATACCCACACCCTGATGGGCCAGATACTTCCACACCCTGATAGACCAGATACCTCCACACTCCTGATGGGCCAGATACTTCCACCCTGATAGTGCAGATACTCCACACCCCTGATGGGCCAGATACTTCCACACCCTGATGGGCCAGATACTTCCACACCCTGATGGGCCAGATACTTCCACACGCCTGATAGACCAGATACTTCCACACTTCTGATAGGCCAGATACTCCACACACTCCTGATAGTGCCAGATACCCCACACTCCTGATGGGCCAGATACTTCCACACTCCTGATAGACCAGATACTTCCACACTTATGGACCAGAACTTCCACACCTGATGGGCCAGATATTCCACACTCCTGATAGTGCCAGATACCTCCACACTCCTGATGGGCCAGATACTTCCACACTCCTGATAGACCAGATACTTCCACACTTCTGATAGGCCAGATACTTCCACACTCCTGATAGTGCCAGATACCTCCACACCCTGATGGGCCAGATACTTCCACACTCCTGATAGACCAGATACTCCCACACTCCTGATAGGCCAGATACTTCCACACTCCTGATAGTGCCAGATACCCACCCTGATGGGCCGATCTTCACACCCTGATAGTGCCAGATACCTCCACACTCCTGATGGGCCAGATACTTCCACACGCCTGATAGACCAGATACTCACACCCTGATGGACCAGATACTTCCACACCCTGATAGGCCAGATACTTCCACACTCCTGATAGTGCCAGATACTCCACACCCTGATGGGCCAGATACTCCACACCCTGATAGACCAGATACTTCCACACTTGATAGGCCAGATACTTCCACACTCCTGATACAGATACCTCCACACCCTGATGGCAGATACTTCCACACTACAGACCAGATACTTCCACACTCTGATAGGCCAGATACTTCCACACTCCTGATAGGCCAGATACCTCCACACTCCTGATGGGCCAGATACTCCACACCCTGATAGTGCCAGATACTCACACTCCTGATGGGCCAGATACTTCCACACTCCTGATAGACCAGATACTTCCACACTCCTGATAGACCAGATACTTCCACACTCCTGATGGGCCAGATACTTCCACACCTGATAGGCAGATACTTCCACACCCTGATGGGCCAGATACTCACACCCCTGATGGCCAGATACTTCCACACTCCTGATAGACCAGATACTCACACCCTGATGGGCCAGATACTTCCACACCCTGATGGGCCAGATACTTCCACACCCTGATAGACCAGATACTCACACTCCTGATAGACCAGATACTTCCACACTCCTGATGGGCCAGATACTTCCACACTCCTGATAGGCCAGATACTTCCACACTCCTGATAGTGCCAGATACCTCACTCCTGATAACAGATACTTCCACACCCTGATAGACCAGATACTTCCACACCTGATGCCAGATACTCCACACCCTGAGGTGCATCCACACCCTGATGGCCAGATACTTCCACACCTGATGCCAGAACCACCCCTAGGGCCAGATACCCAGTCCTGAGGGCCAGATACTTCACACCCTGATAGTGCCAGATACCCACACCCTGATGGGCCAGATACTTCCACACCCTGATGGCCAGATATCCACCCTGATAGACCAGATACTCCACACCCTGATGCCAGATACCCCACCTGAAGCCAGAACCACACCCTGATGGGCCGATCTCCACACCCTGATGGCCAGATACCCACCGCCAAACCCACACTCCTGATAGACTAGATACTTCCACACTCCTGATAGACTAGATACCTCCACACTCCTGATGGGCCAGATACCTCCACACTCCTGATGGGCCAGATACTTCCACACGCCTGATAGACCAGATACTTCTCACCACTGCACGAGAACCTTACCCGTTATCATGATGTACACCGCCTCTCCTCCTTATCAATTTTTCCCAGTATAAAACATGCATAGTGACACCCTTTAAAATATTCGTGATAAGATAACATAAATGGCTGGTTATATCACTGCAATTTGTGGGACCCAAACCAATCACTGATACATGACTCATATTAGAGTATTTCTTTATAGTTTGTTTTTTGTCTGTATCGTAGGTTATTATTACTGTAAATGACTTATACTGCCGGAAGTATAACAAGGGTCAAGGTTCAGTAAAGGTTATAACAATATGTTTACATAACCCATATAATAGAGAGAGAGAGAGAGAGAGAGAGAGAGAGAGAGAGAGAGTCAAAAGCTTTTACATGACGTGGTGTTAATTTTACAATGAATATATTTTAAATTTGTATCCTAATTGGTGCTTGGTGAATATGTCTGGCTAAAATAGGCTTTCAAGTGTAATTTCCGTGTTATTTTTATCGTTATTTTAGGCTTTAACATAAATCAGGAAACTAGATGTATCCCAACATCTCGTTACGATCGAAAATTTCAACTCACGAACCCTTCTAAATCTATCGTTGTATCACAGCTTAAATAAACCAGTTAGACGAATTCTTACATCTCAAATTACGAGGAAAACCCAACACGCTAAATCTTTAAGAATCTACCTTCGTAACTATACTTAAGTGGGACTTTTCAATGGGTTGGTGACGGGAGAAAATGTACCAGTGAACCTTAGTGAATCCGGGACTTGGGGGAGATCAGAACATACTAAGAACAAGGTCAGTAATTTTTTTTCTTTAGTAATTTATAAACTCCTACAGGGTGTGACCTTGAATCTCCCCAGGCGAGGCGTGAAGAAAATATATATAATGAAAATCGATACTTCAGTTGATCCTCATCCAAGTTGTTGGAGACTGAGGAGGAGGAGGAGGAGTGTGAGAAGTGAGAAAGATAGAAAACCTGTGAGAAAGTTTGAAAGTTTATAGGTAGAGTTAGGAAGGGCTGGGAGGAGGAGGAGGAATAGGAGTTGGAGTTAGCTGGAGGAGATGAAGAAAAAGGGAGAAGGAAGCAGGAGGAGGAAGTGTAGGCGGAGGAGAGGGAGGTAGAGAAGAAGAAGGAGGAGGAGAAGGAGGAGGAGGCGAAGAAGGAAATAAAGGAACACGAGTAAGCTTTTTACACTGTATATCACAGATAAAAATAAATAAAACCAAAGAAAACCAAAAGGAAGATCCAAGTACAAAGAAACATAAAAGATAAAGTCAGAAAGGTGAAAGATTATCAGTCATAAGAGAGAATCACCAGATACAGGTAGATAATTAATAATAGATCTCTTCCAACCTTCACCATAAAAGACTTACTAATACTTTTTTTCCTTTCTTGCAGAACCTGAAAAACCAAATTATGACAACGAACGTCTGGGTGGAACAAGTAAGTACGGTCTGAAATTTTCTCTAACCATAAAAAAAAAAATCATCTAAGGAATTTTGTTTTCAATATTCCTCGTAAGTTCATATAAATAGTGTATTTCGTTAACGTTAAATAATATGCCTATGTATTCCTAATGTATTAACCAGTCTATATCACTAGGCATTTGACATTAAGTTCAGAAACTCGCAATAACTCTGGACGTTGTGAGGTATCGATCCCAAATAGTTGCTTAATGGCCCACCTCACACACAATATATACGATGTAAAAAAAAAAATTCAAAATAAACTTCATCGTCATTGTCGTCTTAAAGTCTTTCTCTGCACACGTCCCCTAGATCTATTGTTCCTTCCTCTTTATCCATTGTTTTATTGCCTCTTACCTCACGCACCATTTACCATCTCTTATTTTTATGTCTCTTCATTCAGTTACATTTATCTCTCTCTCTCTCTCTCTCTCTCTCTCTCTCTCTCTCTCCTATTCCATACATCCTTAATCATCAACCGACTCTTAATTTCACTCTCACTTATTCCCTCTATATTATTGCCTCTCTCTTCATCTACGTTCTTTCATTGCCTTTACATTTATCATCTCTGTTCCTACCTCAAAATTCATTAAGAAAAAACTTTAAGTCAGAGTTTTTTTAGAAGAAACAATTATATATGCATAAGATTTATTATTGTTTTTTTACTCTCTCTTTACCAAGTTTCTATTTAAAAGTTAAGAAAGATTTAAAGGCATCCATGAGTTATTTTTCAAGTCAAATTAAATAGAAAATTTAATAGAAAAATGAAAAGACGAGAAAATAAAACAGTGTGAATTAATAAATAAAATTGCGAAAAAAGAAATACATAAGTGAATAATGAGGAAATGAAGGAAAAGAAGTGAAGAAACTACAAAAATAGAGTAAAGAAGAGAGATGAACAGATATAAAATGAATAAATGACAATTATGAAGAGAAATAATATACAAAATCATTGAAAAACAAAGAAGGAAATAATAGAAGGAAGGAAGGAAGGAAGGAAGGAAGTGGAAACTATTGAGGAAGAAAGAGGGAGAAGAAAGGGTGAAGAACAGAGAGAAATGGAGAATAAGAATAATAACTACACATCAGAGATTGAAATACAAACAAAGACAATTGAGGAAAGCTTAAACGAATGACGACAAGAAGAAAGAAATAACAAATAGAAAATAATATATGAAAAAAAACAATTAAAGACAAAAATTAAAAAAAAGAGAATAGAAAAAATATAGAAGAAAAAGAAAAGAAAGAAAAATATTGAATAAACAATAAGTTAAAGTAAATGATGAAGTAATTTTTTTTACCCGAATGAAAGAAAATCCTAAACGCACTTCGTATTTTTTTTTGGTGGGAGGGGGGGAGGAGCTGAGTATCGGCGGCTGGTATTGTACTAACTAGATGTGTCTTTCGCTGGGAATCAAGACCCTGATGTATGGACTCTCTCTATGACACAAGAAACACCAACAGCACTAAGACCCCTCTGTGTGGACTCTCTCTATGACACAAGAAACACCAACAGCACTAAGACCCCTCTGTGTGGACTTTCTCTATGACACAAGAAACACCAACAGCACTAAGACCCCTCTGTGTGGACTCTCTCTATGACACAAGAAACACCAACAGCACTAAGACTCCTCTGTGTGGACTCTCTCTCTGACTGACCCTCTATGACACACAGAAACACCAACAGCACTAAGACCCTCTGTGTGGACTCTCTCTATGACACAAAAACACTAACAGCATAAGACCCTCTGTGTGGACTCTCTCTATGACACAAGAAACACCAACAGCACTAAGACCCCTCTGTGTGGACTCTCTCTATGACACAAGAAACACCAACAGCACTAAGACCCCTCTGTGTGGACTCTCTCTATGACACAAGAAACACTAACAGCACTAAGACCCCTCTGTGTGGACTCTCTCTATGACACAAGAAACACTAACAGCACTAAGACCCCTCTGTGTGGACTCTCTCTATGACACAAGAAACACCAACAGCACTAAGACCCCTCTGTGTGGACTCTCTCTATGACACAAGAAACACCAACAGCACTAAGACCCCTCTGTGTGGACTCTCTCTATGACACAAGAAACACCAACAGCACTAAGACCCCTCTGTGTGGACTCTCTCTATGACACAAGAAACACCAACAGCACTAAGACCCCTCTGTGTGGACTCTCTCTATGCACACAAGAAACACCAACAGCAGAACCCTCTGTGTGGACTCTCTCTATGACACAAAGACCTTTTCCCTCTGTGGACTCTCTCTATGACACAAGAAACACCAACAGCACTATGACCCCTCTGTGGACTCTCTCAGCAAAGCACCACAGCCCTCAACCCTCTGTGTGGACTCTCTCTATGACACAAGAAACAAACAACAGAACTAAGACCTATCTCTGTGTGGACTCTCTCTATGCACTATGACCCTCTGTGTGGACTCTATGACACAAAAAACACCAACAGCACTAAGACCCCTCTGTGTGGACTCTCTCTATGACACAAGAAACACCACAGCACTAGACCCCTCTGTGTGACTCTCTCTATGACACAGAAACACCAACAGCACTATGAAAGCCCTCTGTGTGGACTCTCTCTATGACACAAGAAACACCAACAGCACTAAGACCCCTCTGTGTGGACTCTCTCTATGACACAAGAAACACCAACAGCACTATGACCCCTCTGTGTGGACTCTCTCTATGACACAAGAAACACCAACAGCACTAAGACCCCTCTGTGTGGACTCTCTCTATGACACAAGAAACACCAACAGCACTAAGACCCCTCTGTGTGGACTCTCTCTATGACACAAGAAACAGCGACACACAGTTTAACTCTTTGACTGCAAGTGACGGACGTGTTGCCTACAGAAAAAGGAGACTGGAGTATTAATGTTCTCCTCCTCCCCCCACGCAGCCTTTACAAGCAAACTCTTGGCTAAGTACATTACTCCTCACCACCGCACCTAGCATGGCTAAGTTGGGTTATCCATTCACATCAGCTGTCGTCGACGCTGTAGACTCCTCTTTCTCCTCATCCTCCAACTCCTCTTCCTTCTTCTCCCGCAGTCTCGTCAGCAGTGCTCCTCACGTCGTCAGCAGTGCTCCTCACGTCTTCAGCCTCCCTCCACCCCCTCCTGCTCCCCAGGCTAAGCAACCCTTCTGCACTTCGTCTCTTCTGATGAAACTTTTTCTATTTGTCTTCTTTCCTCAGCTCGTTCCTCTAATTTTTTTATCATAATTCTTTTTGACTTTCTTAATAATTTCTTCCTCAAATTTTTGTGTCTGTGGTAAGATTCCTTAAAAAACTACATGACTTTATTTTCTTACGTAGGTGGAAGTCGTCGCTAAAATTGTAAATTCAAGAGTTTTAAAGAATGATAAGTGCAGGTTTATTTAATAGGACAAATTTTCATATTTTAGTATATAAAAATGTGGGTGAAGTGAGTGGAGACATGTTGAGGCAAAAGAGTGGGATGTTGCGCAACTAATGTCATGCAATATGCATGAGGGCCTGGTGAATGAAGAAAGTGTACTCCATAAGTGGATAGTTGCAGTGATTGCATATTTGTGAGCCTCCGCTGTTGTATATATATATATATATATATATATATATATATATATATATATATATATATATATATATATATATATATATATATATATATATATATATATATATATATATATATATATATATATATATATACAGGGTGAGCATAAAGTCTTTCCCTGATTATGTTGGAGCTTTTCGTTGCACCTCAGTTAGAAGAGTTTCAGCCATGGGTAGTTTTCCAACAAGATGGAGCACCGCCACACTGGGGTTTAGCTGTCCGTCAGTTCTTGAACGCAACCTCTCCAAACCGATGGATTGGGAGAGATGGTCCAACACCAGACATTACCCTTCTTGATTTCTTTTTATGGGGGTATACGAAGGACAAAGTGTACAGTTCACCAGTTCCTGATCTTGAAACTCTGAAGGCAAGGATAACGGAGGCAATAGCGACGGTGACTGAAGAGATGCTGCAGAAAACATGGCATGAAATCGAGTATCGGTTAGATGTGCTCCGGGCAACAAACGGAGCACATGTTGAAGTTCACGAGTAACGAAACAAAAAACTTCTTGAGATAAGGTATAAGCTGCAAAAACTGTATGTTTGTACCTAGCATATGTTTTGTGTAATGAATGTTTGTAATCAGGGAAAGACTTTATGCTCACCCTATATATATATATATATATATATATATATATATATACTTCTACTGAACGACGAAAAATTATATATTGACTTCATTTTGTCCGCGGGTCAGTAACTTCTTCAGCATGTCGCAAGATGACCCAAGAGCCATGAGATGCAGTGTCGAGGGAAGGGAGGGGAAGGATGGATATGGGAGGGTGAACGGAGGGGAGGGGAGGGGAAAGGAGGAGGTGGTCGATGGATATTTTACGAGGTCGGGCATATAACCATTCCCTCCATGGTACAGCTTTTCCCCACTACTCTCTCCCCTTTATGGACGGACCCGCATGTTCCACTTCCTCTTGTTCTTTTATTTTATTTTTCATAGAGGGTGACAGGATTAGACAGACAGGCTGACAGATAGACGTTAAAAAGGACAGAAAAGCAGACAAATGGATGGATAGGCTGTCATAGACCTAGCCAATATAAAGAGAGAAAAAACGGAGAGAAAGAAAACGGTGCATAGAAAGTGACTAGAGAGAGAGAGAGAGAGAGAGAGAGAGAATGATACATGCCCCAAGAGACAAAAGCTGGCATTTGGCTGGAAATCTCAAATCCTCGCCACAAGACTTGCTAATGTATTTGACACAGTGTAAGCGTCGCCTTCCATGAATGAGAAAATATTAGGAGGGAAAAGACGAAAAGAAAACAGAATTCTCTCTCTCTCTCTCTCTCTCTCTCTCTCTCTCTCTCTCTCTCTCTCAATAGGGATCTCCCCGCTGGCCTCTCAGTATTCCGG